TACCTCTCCAAGGTTGATCCTGTTGGTTCCTTTAGGAGTTAGTTCCACCTTGTTTCCCAACGAATCCTCACAAAACAGTTGTGCGTTCATAGCATAGCCTTCTGCCTTCACGTTCAACGTCAAAGGAGATGTCTTCTTCTTGACGTAACAAAGCACGTTGAAATTGACTTCTTTTTGTGACGATGCAACAAGCGAAATCTCGATTGGCAGTCTGCCGTGACAAATAAATAATCACAACCATCATAYATTGAAAATAATATAAACAAGAAAAATAAATAAATTATATTTGACAGAACATACATAAATTAAAAGGAAGAAAGAAAAATAATATAATTCTTGTAGTTTTCGTTTGAATCTCAGCGTCAAATTCCCAATAGTTCCTTCGACCAATCTTCTATTTGGTCTTCCTTTGTTATAATTCTCCCGAAATCCTGGAAACGAATCTGAGCGCGCGCGCTATGACGTCACAATCAATTACRCTAATCAATCACTTTAGTTTAGTACAGACAGTGATTCAATGCAGACGTGTTTTTACAAGTACCTTTCTTTAGGTCCAACAGAACCTGAAACAGGCTTTACAGACAGACTTGAAGCGTAGCCGTCAGTGTGCAAGGATTCTTCTTTGAAGGTAAAATTGAATGGGACTTCTTCTTCGTTTACAAGGTGTACAGTTTGATTGACGGGATGTCCTGAAACAATATCAACATTTTTATTAGTTCAGCCGCCTTGAATATACTGTGTACATGATGTTTTTTTGTTCATTTGTGATCATGTTTGTTCTCTACTGTTTCTAGTAGTTTGCTTCCATTTTAATTGCGGGTGACTAAGCTTGTCTAGTATTAACTTGCGTTTTATTAGCGCCCTCGCGTAGCTAACTTTAACAGCTTCGATTTATTGAAAATCTTCGTTGCGCAAACGCAAAGTTACGACATAACTTTGCTTAGTATTTTTGTTTTTGATTGATTGGAGTTCTCACAAAGCTACCGCTAACAGAACAGAACAGAACAAAACAACACAACAAAACACAACACAACACAAACACAACACAAACACCACAACACAACACAACACAACACAACACAACACAACACAACACAACACAACACAACACAACACAACACAACACAACACAACACAACACAACAGGACAGATAAGAGCAGAGCAGAGCAGAGCAGAGCTGAGCTGAGCAGAGCACAACACAAAAAGGTAGCTTCATCACATAGCGTCAAAACTCACCGACAAGGATCTCCCTAAGATTAATATGAGACCTATCAAATGACAGAGATGGCTCCAGTGTGTGGCCAACGAGGACAAACGGCACAGAAATATTATATTCCGGTATAAAGAACCGCCAGAACGACTCCACCAAGTCTAAGGAATCCGACACGTATTCRAAGACCATCTCAGCYTTCTTGCCRCTGTCAATAGAGCCGTTGGGTACCATACAGCGGAAGTTGCAGTTRTCAGGGGGAGTACCGTCCAGGGTRTCTTCGTTGGTCCATGTAAAKGTATATGATGAATTGGTTGGATTGAGAACCATGAAGCGCCTGGGATATAATCAAATGGAAAATGAAAGAATGAATTTTGGACATAGATGGATGAATAGAGAGTGGAGTAATGCTGAAATACTTCAAAATCTTCTCACTTTTGATTCTTGACTTTAATTCCACAAGACTTGAATTCAATAACTTTAGTGTTAGGGTCCAGAGTAGATCCGGGGGGTGCACCACTTGCTCCTCGMAGTTCTGGATTGCGACGGCCGCCTGTGATATAATCCGAGTCTTCTAATTCAAAGTGSGCGTARGGTAAGAGACCGCGCCCACGAACAGGGATGGAGAACGACTCTTTTCCTGGTGTAGCATTGGTTATTCTGCGAATATAAAGCATTTTATTTAGAATCAAAGGTATCTATTGAAACAGTGTAATCGTTATCATCATCATTATCATCATCATCATCACCACCATCATTATCATCATCACCACCATCATCATCATCATCATCATCATCATCATCATCATCATCATCATCATCATCATCATCATCATCATCATCATCGCTTGTATGAAGACCTACCGACACGTCAGCAATGAGTTATAGTCAATAACATCCATAGGCGCAAACTTGAGGACAAAATTCGCTTTCTTCCCTGCTGGAATAGATCCACATTCAGGTTCAATTGTGAAGGGAAACATGTCGGCTGCCACCTCGCTGACAACGCTGGCAGTCTCATAGGCCAATGCAAGAGCGCTGGGTGGTCTGTCACTGGATACTTTACTAACTGTCCGTACTCTAGTCGGTTCAACTGATGACGAGCCAGTAACTGTTGTACTTGGTCGTGTTGGGTGTTGATTGCTCACTGGTCGTCCCTCGGACGGTGCAGGACCTTCATCAACGCTGACTCGTTTGCCTTGACTGGGGCTTTCAAAAGYCCACTGGTAGTCGAACTGGACTTCACCCTTGTTCGAAACTGTGAAGCTGCAAAGGAACGACATTTATCAATGAATGGACACCACTAGATTTGTGTGTATACTCAGTAAATATTTTTCACATATTCAGCTGATGGCTACTTTGTCATACGAATATTTTATCTCTATTAAAGAATTCCAACCAACCACAATGCAGCGCGCGCTCGTGTTATTGTTTTCATACGTTTAAAAATGAGACAAGCATACAATAGATTATAGTTTGATAGTACCTGTGATGTACTTAGTTAAAGGTATTTCTGTCCAAACTGAAAGGATGGAAGACGATTCGCGCTCACTTTAAGAAATCCTATGAATCCGCCATTTTCTTGTCTACTTAAAATGGCGCTTCGGCTCGCAAGGTACGGCGGTTGGTAGACATTTTTTAAAGACGGTTTTTAAACACAAAAAATATGTATATAACGCGCTGTTGAACGGGGAATTCTCTTTTTACCTGTAGATTCTTGTTTGGAACATAAGTGTATCCTTGAAATGCACATTTTCCGTTTTGCACCTCATCTTGGAGTAGTCACACACTCCGCTGACCAGAAGCTCAAGGTCACGCCCATCGTCTAGCGGTGTGAATGGTGGTTCAGGTTCGACTTCTATAACTTTCTTCTTAGCAGGTTTCAGTGACTTTAGTGCACTACCAGTTACAGAGGTGTCATCGGGCTTTCCACTGGGTGTGTCTTCTGCCGTGAGGTCAATCCATTTAACGATGCGCTTACGATCATCCCAGTCTACYGCCTRGAAGATTAGAAAATAGTGATTAACAATAAATAGGGCAGTGTATTAATTGATCATTTAATTCAGTTTAGTCGATTTCCAGATCAATTAATCAGTAGTACAATGAATCATCAACCAACTAACAAAACATCCAATGCAACCAACCAATCGACGAATCAATCAATCAACCGACCAATCAACCGAACAATCAATCAATCTATTTATCTATCGACCAAGCACTCGACCTATCAATCAATAAACCAACCAACCAACCAGTCGATCAATCAATCAATCAATCGACCAATCAATCGACCAATCAATCAACCAATCGACCAATCAATCAAGCAATCAACCGACTAAGCAATCAATCAATCAATCTATCTATCTATCGACCAAGCTCACAACCTATAAATCAAAAAAAAACTAACCAACCAACCAATTGAGTAATAGACCAATCAATCAATCGACCAAGCACTAAACTATCATTTAATCAAGCGACCGACCGACCGACCGACCGACCGACCGACCGACCGACCGGCCGACCGACCGACCGACCAACCAATCAATCCACCAATCAACCAAGCACTCAACCTATCAATCAATAAACTAAGCAATCAATCTATCGAATTAAAATTTCTCCATCCCACTGAAGATCACAAAACTTGCCTTGTCTTCGTTGTCACCAACTTTAATCTTGCTCACTTTACAGGGAATATTCTGCGTCTTGAGAACCTTTGGTTTAGCAGACGTAAAAGTGATGGAGACATCTTTGGCGCATCCTGGATTGAGATGACCAATGCAAGGAGAAAAGATGATCTCTTGTGGAGGAGTCCAGGAAAAGCGGACTGTGTCTACAGTTGAGTGATTGGTAAGTGTAAATGACAGCTGTTTGGGGATTCCTACAGCACAGTCGTTGAATCTTACATGGTTTTCTCTTAATGCTACAAAGAAAATACGAAAATCAATTTATGGATTTAAAAAATTGCGCACGTTTATGAGTTGCATGTCCTTTTATTGACACACTCCTGACGTCATAACATGTTCAAAACTCAAGTGAACCAGCAGCGCAGCGCAGCGCAGTTAACAATAAAAAGAAAAATTATTACTGCGCGATMAAAGTTTCGATGATAGACAGAAAAATGCAGTGCAATTAAAAATACTTGTAAGCGCCACAGGAMAACATTACCTGGAGCATTTTCAGCAATTTCAGCACTATCAGGGATACTYTCCACAACACCCGACGAGCGAATATTATCAATAGTAACATCGTCCTCRTAACCCTCTCCGATTAACTGAATAAGTCCTTCTTCGTAAGGATTGTCCATCACAGATAGTTTGACCTCCCCGACATGGCGTCCTGAAGACGAGGGCGTGTACTCCACGCGGAATTCCACAGACTCACCCATCGGGACCACRACAGAAATACGGCTCCCTTTGCGTACATTCGCGTCTTCTTGGTCTTGTGGAATCTGGTGTTTTGTGTTTTCTGTACAAGAGATGGTGTAGACRCCATCAGGGTCCTTCAGGGTCAGTAGAACGCGTGATATCAGAGTCCCTTCGTTCTGTAGGTTGAGAGTGAGGACCTGTGTTCGGTGGAGGAGAAGTCTGCGGAAGAGGAGAACCGGGTTGCCTTTCTTGTTGCGSGAGGTTGGTCGCTTGATTGAGATTCTCGGCAGATTTCCTTCACCTTGAAATATAACAGTAGAACAACAAGATTCGTTAAAAATGGTTTGCGAATTAATAGTGATGGAAGTGCATCATCAGTAAAAATTTCTGATAGCAAAGAACAACAACAGCAAGATCAATAACACCGTCACTACCACTAACAACCGCATCATCATCATCATCATCAACAGCAACGATAACATCATTAGCAAAAACAACGAAGGCATCATCCACAACTTCAACAGCAACGACATTGGCAGCGACGACGTCTTCGACAAAGGCGCGTAGCGTCCTAAACGCATGTACTAGTGGCAAGGAAATATTAAAATTTTCACAAAAATTACTGAAAAATTCACGTAAAATTGATCCCTTTTGCATGCCCTCCCTGTCTCTTAAAACGCGCTGGAAATCGCATTCCTAAGAGATTTTACTTCAAAATTTTCTTGGGGAGGTCTAGACCCCCTTAATACTCCCTCCTTTGGCGGTCGTTAGACCCCCAGATCAAAAATATGTGTCGCGGTTCTTGAGATATGCGTACTAACCAAAACGTTCACGCTACGCGCCTGCGACAACATCATTAACATCAATAACACCATCATCAACAGCAACATCATCATCATCAACAACAACAAGCTGATGTACAAGTGATAAAGCCTTAACCTACCTTGAATATCAAATGTAAGGTTTCGATATTTTGACACCACGCTAGGCATACCATCAACCGCAGCTTCAAAGATGGCCGAGTAAGACTGCATGGAGGGTGGAGTAAACGTAACAGTAGCGTAGATGTAGTCATGGGCCGATATCGACGCTCGTTGAGGCTCGACCTCGTAAACGTCATGCCATCGTGCAGACGGCTTGTTTGATAACGGTTTGACGGATAGGACTAGATCACATGGTACCTAACGGCAAGCAATAAAGGCGATGTGAATYAAATAAGGTTGTCGTTACTGCAATATGTCAGAGCAACCACRTTGTTTGTACGTACGGAAACGTAAGGACATAGACTTATTGGTCAATTATAACACGAAGGCCCCTTGTTCGTTCGTACGGAAACGTAAGGATATATACTTATTGGTTAATTATAACACGTAGGCCCCTTGTTTTTGAGTTGTTGTTTTTACGTACGGAAAATTCAGGACATAGACTTATTGGTCAATTATAACACGTAGGTCCCTTGTTTGTACATACGGAAACGTGAGGACCGTACGTTAAAGATTACGTCAATCTTATTTACCTTATTGTTGTTACTAATCCTAAACCGAGCTTTGGCCTTCCTTCCCACGATCGTGTTATAGAAAATAAACTTATTTTCGTCCTCGCCATATACTCCCGCCCCGCTCGAGAGGTCGTGCGTCATGTACTGAAACACGTTGAGTTGCTTGACTATCATGTGCTCCTCGAAGATTGATCCAATGGATGATGGACTGATRACTGAGATGCCGGGAACACACGCCTCGCCGATCAGCTTGTAGGGGATTCCCTGGGGGTGATCGTTTGGTGGTCGGTCGGAGATATCTATAGCAATGTTCTGTGATATAGAAAAATGTGGGAATGTGAGTACTAATCATAATAGAACCGAGCAGAATAGAAGGGAATAAGACAGAACCGAAGATAACAGAATGGAATGGAATAAAAAAGAACAGAACAGAACAGAACAGAATGGAATGGAATGGACCAGAACAGAACAAAACCGAAAAGAACACAACACAACAGAACAAAACAGAACCGAAAAGAACAGAACAGAATGGAAGAAAAGAGAAGAAAAGAAAAGAAAAGAAAAAAAAAGAACAGAAGGAACAGGCCAAAACAGAAAAAAATATAATGGAATGGAAATAGAACACAACAAGGAAACGAAAAAAGGTCTCAAATGAAAATAAAGTCAGAATTTCATAAAGAAAACGTACCTCCTCCCAGAATCCTGGTGATTCAGCGAGCATGTCAACAGTAACCTGCACTGAGCTGCCTGCTGGTACAGTACCAAGTGCAGGATACAGGGTAAACATCCCTAGTTGCAGCCTAATGTTTGGAGCCATTGTTGTTATATCAGCACTAAAMAAATGAACATTGTGTTAATTTTACATTCTCTTTGTAGTCGATWTCTGTTTTGGGTTTCCTGTTTAAAAAACGGGGAGAATGGGTCGAGACGGAGAAAAATTTACCCTTTAACAGAATCAGCTCTTTTCGGCTTTGGTGGCTTGTTTTCCGCTGACCGTCCAGAACTAGACCCGTCACGTGATTTACTYCTTTTYCCAGCAGGACCCAGCTTCTGTCGWCCTTGAGAGACCGTGTTGATCATCTTGAGGATTGAGTACCGGAAATCAAACTCCCCCTTGTTTTCAATAGCAAAAACCAGGACCTTCTTGTTRTTGACCAGCAGTGCCCCAAAGTTGATGTCACTTATTGGAGAAATGGCGTACTTGCTGTAGACAGAACGAACACTGATCTTGACGGGAATACTAGCGATGACTTCACCRCCTTCACCAAGGTGTGGCTCAATTATCTGCAACGAAATTCAGTACCTTAAGCATTACGCTGATCAAGGCCCGTTTACACTTGCTAAGTTTTGCAGCGCAGTTATCGCCACTTTGCTATCGCGCAATTAAAATTGTACGTGTAAACAGCCCTGCGATTGTTGAGGCGATCGAAAAGCATGTTTCAAGCATGATCGAAACTCAGGCGATGGTCGCGCGATGATCGCCGCGAGAATCGTCCCGCAAAAATCGCAAGCGCAAACGGGCCTTAAGAAGCCTTTATTAAGCATTAATTAAGCTCATGAACAAATTTAAACGTCCATTGGCCCCAGCATTACTCGAAGGATTACTCTTTAACTATACCTGRCATTTCAAGATCGGTAGGTCCTTGATGGTAACCTCCTTCTTTGATCTAAAGATCACTTGAACCTGCGTTGGTCTATCRGTAGGGAGCAGCGGTCCCCTGTTTGGCATTACAGTGAAGAGATCCTGGGCGTTTGAGGGGCCTGTCTCATTTGACTCAAAAACGAAGTTATAATTGATCTCAAATCGTCCTTTGTTTTTCAACGAGCAGGCCTGCTTGGCTTCATCCATGACCTTGAGAATGCCAAAGTCCAGACCTCCGTCTGTACCTGAAAACAAGAGAGGAGAGTGGTTAGGACTGACACAGTTTAACCTTAGGAATATCGAATCCTCGATAATAGTGCTGTTAATAAGACGGGTTTTTTTGGAGAACGTATATAGCTTTTTTTAAAAAGGTTTTCACAGCGAAGAGCGAATCCACGACCGAAAGTCAACATCGTGGGAATGGATTATTGATGTCAATACTCCGGGCACTCATTAGATGCGTCAATATTGTTGTTTGCATCAAATAAAGATTTTCGATGGTGTTTTTATTGTTTTGTAAGTGTTTTTCAGCAGATAAGTGATTATTTGCCGACTCAGATTAACTCTCGGTCGTACAATCGCTCTCCGCTGTGACAACCTTTTTAAAATAGCTGTATACACCCTTTTAATAAGTCCCAAGGTATTGTGTTCTCCGCACTTAACGTCAAATTTATTCTTTTGAATTCCTTTTGTATTGTAAAAATTTCAAAAGAATAAATTTGACGTCAAGTGCGGAGAACACAATACCTCGGGGCTTATTAAAAGGGTGTATATAAATTGTCAAAGACGCTAACAAAGCAACGTGCTTTCACATCAATCACTTACCTTTAGGGAAGCTCATATCCAGCGCTACGTCATAAGCCTCGGCATGCACCTGTATATTCTCAGCTTGTACAAGTCCCATAATTTGCTCGACGTCCGACACCTCCAAACGCACGATCTTTTTAACGTTAGTTGGCCGAACTGCTCGAAAGTGCATCTGCATCGCATACTCAGATTTTGCTTCTATTATCCCGTGTTCGGTAGTGACAGAGAAATCATCTCCAAGATTGTCTAAGCCATTAAGACGCCACGCTACTGGCAGCAGGGTACTGTTGCGTAGGAATATCGTGCGTGTATCTTTCCTATACAAAAAGTGAGTGGACTGTTTAATGTTTAAGTGTAATACTGTTACGCAGGAAGATCGAGTGTGAATTTTTCCATAAAAAAGTAAGTGGACTGTTTAACATCTATGCGTAATACTGTTACGTATAATGTTGCGTAATACTGTTACGTAAGTCCACTGATTAACATTTAAGCGCATAATGGTAATACTGTTACGTAGGAAGGTCGTGCGTAAATCTTTGATTAACGACAAAGCTTGTATACATTACCTATGCAACAGAACGCGGTCAAACTGTAGTTGCTTTCGGTCCAGCTCCAATTCTGGCCTGACACCATGACAAGATAGTTTGAACACTACGGGTTCTGGATTTTCTCGTATGCAGCACACTAGAGCATCTTCAAAAAAMCCCGGAGTCTTTGGRTACGCCCAGATTGATAGATCCTAAAAACGTAACATGGCTTGCGTTAAGTATTACGTTCTGTATCAATGCATGCATTCTGGTAATGGTAACTAAACTGTCTTTAAAGGGTATGTTACGCTCAATAGTTTGCGTCACTGTTATCTTACGTTTGCATTGCGTTTTCCTTATTACGTTTCCTTACGTTGTGCTATATTGAGTGCCGTTGTCAGATACGTTTATACGTTAAGTTGTTGCTAATTACGTTTATGTATGCTCAATCAGATTATGTTACGCTACACTTATTTACATTGCTTTGTACTGCGTTGCGTTGTCAACTACGTAACGTTTCGTTGTGGTACGTAACATTTCGTTGCCTTACCTGACTCTGTCCCGGTTTTAAATTCATAACCGGTGGATCCAACAAGAACGTTACTGCGGTACTGTCTTGCTGAAAGCAGAAGCTAATCTCAGACTCCAACGGCGAMGTATTCAGTACTGTTAGCTTCTCAACATTCTCAGGGTATCTCTCTTCTTTGTATCGGTCTCTAGTCTTCCCACACAATAGCGGACCAAACTCGAACGTTTCGCTGCTCAGGATGTACTTCTTATGTACCACTTCATCTGGCTTGCGATATTTCTTACGGTGTGGGAATACAACACGAGGCTCGCGGCTGATTGCAGGGAACGCGCACACGCCACGGCAAAAGAGCTGGTAGCGTCGTCTTGTGCCTGCTATCTCAAAGTTWAGAGTCTGGTCAAATTGGCCGAGTTCTTCTGATCTGAACTTTATGCGAAGTGTTACTGTTTGGTTGGCTTGGATGATCCARCGGTGGGTTACAAGTTGTGGTGATGTTTGTCCGACAACACCCTCGCTGTAAAAGATCAATTATCGATATGAGATCGGTATATAGTCGAGTCGCGATCAATTGTGTCCAATTTTTATCTGAATTTCCTCAAGATGTCGTTATTTGAGCAGGCGTGAGGATCAATCCATTTTCAGGTGGAGAAAAATAGGCAGCAGCCTCCTCAATTAAAACCCTGACTAGTGGTACGTTCTGGGACTGAGCCATGACCTCTCACATAATTCACCGAACGCTTCTTCACATAGAATAATCACCAAACAATAAGCAGTTTTCTCAGTGGAATTGAAACAGTCCGAACAACAAACACAAAATCGACTATTTTTTACTAAATTCATTAGCTTTTCCTAATGAAAATGTAAAAAACATAAAACACAAGGCAAGTTCCTACATATCGCAGCAATCGGTATCTTTTCCATGCTGTATACCAAAGGAATATTTTCGCTTGTCCGACGTAGAAACAGTAACTAGAGAGGTAGGACAATGAATCGSGATGATACCCCACGTAAGGGGGTCACCGGTGGTATTTTACAAAGTCATTATAATAAGAGACACTCACCCTTTGTCATCTTCAGGAACAGTGGGAGTGACCCCAGGAGGTGGTGAAGCGGCACCGTGGCCCGACTTTCCCTTACGACCGGAGTTCTGTCGCTCACGACGGGACTTGGTTCCTCCGCTCTCTCTATCGTCACGTCCTCCTCGACCACCTTTACGGCTGTGTTCCTATATCAACACAAAAATACAATTCTCAATAAACTTCTTATTATTATTTTTTTTTTTTTACAAATTTATATGCTGGTTGTTGTTTGTTTATGGAGTACCTGAGATCTTTCTGTAGGTTTTTCCACCTCTTGCTCAGTTTCTTTAGGTTTTTCCTCTTGAGGRCCATTAGGGTCGTCAGGACCAGAGGTAACAAAAATGTAATGYGATGGTGGATCAGCACCAAGTGGAGAGCGACGTCGAACAGGATAAGGAACGACGGCAAAATTGGCTGGAGGTGGGATTGGGGGACCATGTGGACCAAGCCCGAGGCCGTCTAARACCTAGCCAAAGAAAAATAAAAGTTGAACATTTTTCCCTTTCTTCTCTTTCTTTTATTCTCTCTCATTTGTTTTATCTGATGTATTTGCAGATATCATTGTGTAAATGAGTGGATTTTCATATCAACATACAATCCACCTGAGCGCGAAATCTAAAAAAATAACCTTGAAGGCTGCTCGAGTAGGGCTGCGCACTTGGGCTTCCGCATGCCTACAAAAGAGTGCTTTGGGCTTTTTTCACAAAGCAAATATTTGTCACCATTATCATCGTACCTCTTCGAAAGTTGGTAAGATGCTCTTGTCCATGACCTTCTCCGACATCGATTGTCGAGGTTCCATTACATCCACCATAATATTGGGCACACCTATGCCGTCTTTTTTCCCATCATCATCCTCCTCATGGTCACCACCACTACCCCCTGATACTGGCGACACTGATATCTACACACAAAGACAAWTAAATAAATACAATAACGGATAGTGATGATAAATTTACAAATTGAAAGTTTTTTTGCTGTTGTCTGTCTCGTTGATCATGGAAGACGTCTAAGGGCTTCGAAACGTAACAAAGGAGCGAGGTCAATGAGATTCACACGGATTTACCAGCTATTCTTACCTCTTTGTTCTTCTCCTTCTCCTTCTCTTTTTCCTTTTCTTTCTCCTTTTTCCCTTTTTTGGAAAATCCAGGGGCAGTCGGGGGATCAGGTTCTTGATTGTCTGATTTAGGCGTTTCTGGGCGATTAACGGTCCCAGTTGAACGGTCCCAGTATTGCAGGACATTGTCAATGTCGCGGAGGCTCGACTCGAAACGGGCGAACCTGTAAGAGTGATGAGATAGAAATGTCAATATCACAGTTGCAGACTTAGTAAGGACTTTTAACGATATCTAACAACATAAACATCTCTTTAATCGATAAATCGACTTGGCTCGATCCCTTATGGAAATTTCATTAGAAATATGCCCACTTTCAAAGATCTATAACGTATACATTTTAAAATAAAATGTGGGCATAGCAGATCAGATACTCAGTGTTTGATCTCTTAAGCCTGGTTTTCACTGCGACTTAAACCTAAGCCCAATGTTAAGGATTTAGGCTTGCGCTTAGCATTGGGCTTAGGTTTAAGTCGCAGTGAAAACCAGGCTTTGMTCTGTACAGAATTTTGACTGCCAAAAATCACATATAAACACTGTCATGAACTTGGGTCGTCTGTGCTACGAGTTGGATATCGGCATTCTACTCCGTACAGAGGCGCCATAAGTAATTCACTTACTTTTTAGCGACTTCTTTTTCCTTTTCCTCCTCTTCAGTTGGTGGCTTGGGCTCTTCGATTTGSGGTTGAGGCACAGCCGAGGACAAGCGAGGATGTTTTGATGCTTTGGCGATGCTAACCCGTTTTTTGTCATCGATGACATCACTGCTGTCGGAGCGCTCTGATACAACAGACGGAGCACCACCTCGTGTCTCCATCGATTGTCCTTGCATGCCTGCTGTAGCTCGACCTGGTGTTAGTTTCTCGCTGCTTTTTTCTAACTTTTTGTCTTTTGCCTCGTGACCTTTCTTTCCTCCTCCTGCTCCGCCCTGTTGACCTGCACGCTTTCGTTTGGCATTTCTAAAAAAAAGAAAAGAAAAATAAGGTGATTACTGTGCGAATCAAGCAGAGGCGAACCATTTGATATCTTGAAACCTAATTTACAGAAAGGTCTTTGAAACTTTTCGTAATAGTTTGCAAGGAATGGGATCGGGATTTAAATTTTCCATATAGAAATTGGGTCCTTCACGACCCAAAGAAAACGTCAAACAGAACTTACTTTTCCTCTTCAAGTCGCTTCTCTTCTAAAATCAACTGAAGTTCTTTTTCTTTTCTTTCTTTTTCCTGTCTTTCCATTTCCCTTTTCAGTCTTTCTTTCTTCTGTTCTAAGTGTTTCCTGTCCACTTCTGCCTTCTCTTCGTCGGTTAAAGCRTCGTATTCGTCCTCGGACATCTCCTCAAGGCGACGTTTCTCTTCTTCTTCTTTCAACTTGTCTAACTTGGCTGAATAATAATAGAATAAAGAATGATTTCAATGAATCAATGATTTTTCTCATTCAAATCATAAAAATGATAACATTAAAAAACTTACATTTTTGTTCTTTCTGTYTTTCTTCAACGGTTTTCAGGCGTGAATGGGTCAACATCAGGGTCACAAAGAAGATGTAYTTTCTGTTGTTGAGAGCWCGTAATATAGCAGTGGCYGTTGCGACCAAACTTGGAGCAAACAACGAATCCAGTCCATCTATCACAATGCCTTGCTGGCAGTCACTTAACTATGACATAAAGAGACTCAATATTAATAAGATATGACGTAAGTGAACAATACWAAAATCTGACGTCATTGGGATCTCAGTTCAAGGGGGGTGGGTTGTCACCTCTCGGAAGATGTTGGAAACAAAAGAAGAAAACAAAATACAAAAAAGGGTCATTTTATCTTTTAMAAAGGACACAGCTCGATCAGATAATTCCATCAGAGAGAGCTGCTACCCGTTCAGATAAGACTAGGGTACAGAGTTCAAGGTGGTGTGGCCAGGGTACTATAGCATATTTCAGCGCATTTCTTCAAGATAAAATGCGCCAAATATCCCATTTTATAAATAAATCTTGACCATGAATGCTAACTAAACTAACATATAAACTTACCAACATTCTCTCTGAAAGCAGCTCAACTAACAGGTCTTCAGGCAAAATACAGCTATATARACCATCTTCTCCACAAACACTAGCACTTACACTTAATTTACGTGCAATGGGAGCAGCATTCGGGGGTGTTTCCGGAGGTGTACTTTGTTGCACCTGAGGGGCATTTTTCCCAGCCCCCTTGGGGCCACCAACGGTGGATGTTTTACGTCCCTCACGGGCCATAAACGATTGAGCCCCTGTTACGGAGCCTGATGCGTTATGAGGCTGTAARCTYCCCAGYTTTTCAACTGCCTCGATGCTCAGGCTGCCAGGGTGGCTGGGCTGAAGGGACTCAGTTGCAGCTTGCTCTGCTTCTTTGGCGGATTTAGCAGCAGCGGCACAAAGATCCTTGGCWCGTCGAGCTGTTGGAAGTGAAGAACTCTGTTAGTATCGACTACTCGAAGTTGGTCTGTATCGATCGAACTCAAATTGGTTGATAAGGATATCAATTATTAATTATTATGTCAATGGAAACTATATAGAGGATATTACATGGGCGCGCAGAGATACGGATTTTATCTTCGAGTGTCGAGAAGATAAAATTCGTATCTGCAAGCGACCATRTAATATTCTGTTTATCATATAATTACATACGAAAGCAAATTATGTCGTAAAATACCTTTACTTCTTACTTTCACTATATAGAGAAACCTCGAATGTGTTATTTTCACTAGTGAAAATTTTCACTAGTGAAAATAACAACTTTACGTAATGCAGAAATATATAGGTATTTTATAGATAATTATACTAATAAAACACTCTTTTTGCACGAATCACTATTATAGCATTAGAAATTCGTAAATCAAGAACCTCAACTTGCACAACTTTGAGTCGATAAACCTCAGCCATTACGCATGCTCAAAACGTTCCCCGAGTCTGTCCCACATTGCTCACTGTACCTGCAGAGGATGATCCWGTTGACAAAGCCTCAGTGATGATTCCATCCACGGTCAAACAAGCCGCGCCGTATTTCTTTGCCAGTGCCACTGATGTGGCTGTCTTTCCAGAGAATGGCGCACCATGGACGACCAAGGCAATGCCACGGCGGTTACGAGCGGCTTTTCCCTCTGATGACAGGTCTATTCCTAGGTAACGKGCAATGGCAGCAGATACGGGAGTTATTTCCAGCTCTCCTACACCAAGACTGCTAGCAGCATCTACAGAAATACATTTATATTTATTAACAAAAAGGTTCAATATCTTGTTGTACGTTGTTTGAGTAAGGAAATTTGTATAGGTAATGTTATTTTGCTCAAGGTAAAAAAATGTATAAAAAGACACTGGAAAAAATCGCGCGCTTTAAAGGTTGTAAATTTGATGTAAATATGATGTTAGTGTCCAAAATTCTGTAAATTTACTGGAAATCATCTACATTAAATTTAYAGAAWTTTGGACACTTACATCATATTTACATCAGATTTACAACCTTTAAAGCGCGCGATTTTTTCCGGTGAGAAAATGAAATACAACAATAATGATAATGTTAATGATAGTGACAGTGATAGTGACAATGATAAAGATAGTTAAGATACTCAGGGGATCTCCACAAGGCAAATGAGGAGATAGAATGATAATGATAATATAGTAAAATAATAAGGGTTGTACGAATGGTGAACAACGCTATCCACCGAATAAATCCTCATCCATTGGATAAAATTCCACATAAATCTGATGAGCGGATAACTTTAACCGTAGTATAACTTTGTCAACCCGTCGTCCATTGTTTACCTGCGGCACCCACTTCACTGGAATTGTCTGCTAGTCCAGGAGTGGGAGGAACTGTAGAAATATCAGGGGCAGTCGCTTCACCACCTTCTTCTGCTTGCCGTTTGGCTGCTGCTTCAGCCTGTGCCTTTTCCTCTTCTTCCTTCTTCGTCTGCTGTTGTTGATAGGATTCCACTACYTCTGAGGGTAGCTTCTCTCCTGGTTGCCTYGGAGGAAGCAGGATGGTGTTGTATTCATCATAGCCTTTGACATTTCTCAGCATCTGGG